GTTAGTTCTTGGATTCCAAAACAGAAAACGGAAGCTTCAAGATAAGGTACTGCCAAGCAGGAAGCAAGGAAACACATTAGAACTGAAGTCTCAGAATCATGCCAGAAGTTTAAAAAGGGAAATTAGTGGAAATTACAGAGCCCTCTTGAATCAGACAAGAAAGGAGACTAACTTAATATATACAGACTTATGGTACTTCTTTAGAGCTATTCTCTTCCTTTGGTTAAAAGCCATTTACTTTCCATGTAAGAGAAGTCAAAACATCGACTCATCCTAAATATCTTCTGTATGTGCCCAACACTGTTACGAATGGCGCCTCTAGTCTTCCAGTAGAGAGGGTGTCAGTAACTGTAGTGACATTTTGGTCGAAATTGTACTTAGAGCTGAGCACCAGCCATGGGGTCTTCTTGATATTCTCTCCCAAATTAGGTGACCCTGGGCCAATATATCTCAAAGTGTGGTAGGATTTGGGTATCTGTATCAGAATTACCTGAATATTCATTTAAAGTACGGATTCCTGGTCCCTGGGTGTGGGAGTGCAGACAGAGAGCTCAGGTCTCCTACTTGACCCAGGTGTTCTGAGATAGCTACGCATCCAAAGAAGTGAACGTGCCTTTCTGGAGAATGACTTTAGAGGGAACCAGACTAATTTTCTATCAAATATGCTTATGTTTCAGTCAAGCAAGAAATGCCATTCTACACCATGATGGCATACTGTTATTAATTTTATTTCACAATTTTGGGTGTGCAAGAAATATCGTATTTGTATTCTGCAAATAGTACTGAATCTTTATTGGGGTTTCGTCTCCCTACCTTAGACTCTACAGAAGTACTTTAGGTGTTAGCAGAGTCGAACTTGGGGGGAAGTTACCAAAGCTTTCAAAAATAAGCACCTAGCGACACTGCCCAGAGATGAGGGAACCAAGAACCTCAGGAAGGTCACTGTCCATGCTTCATAGTTCCCTTCAGCACTGAGGAACCAAAGCTAAATTCACACTTTAATAGATGGTCTTGCCACGTGTACTTATGGCCGATGCTACTTCCCATTAAACCCAACAATCTCCTGCCCATGGCTTTTACCTGTCCCTATCTATGGAAGATGAACAGGATGGCCTTGAGTAACACCGTAACATTTGCCTTGGTAACCCTAACCTTCTCTTTCTGGCTTTCCCTCACTTCCTCAGGGATGTCCCATCACCATAAAGGTGAGAATGAGTTGGCCTGGGCACAGAAGCAAAAGCGGTTAATGTCCTTGGTGACCCATTACAGGACATGGAGGAGAGGCCAGGGCACTGCCAGGAAAAGCGATGATAAAGCCAGGAAGGGTGGCACCTCAGAGACAAAATAGCCCTGGTGGTGGAGCCTGGGGTGTGCCTGTGTTTGCAGCATCTTCTTTCCTTTTCTCTTTGCCTCTCCAAGTTGGAGATTGTAACGGGTGTCCATATGAGGCCAGGGTTGAAAATGGAGCAGTCCAGGGACAGCCGGCTACATCTTCTGAGCTCGGGAGACTCAATAGGGCCTTGAGGGACCTCTAATCAGCCTGCTACTTGGGACATTAGGTTTATTTGAGGAAGAGGAGATAATATTCAACACCCCCAGTTATTCAACGCTCACCTAATTTCCTCTTCAACTCATTCTTCCATCCCCAAAATGAGGGTGCCCCTCATCAGATCGGAAAAAGCAGGTGAAGAAGCCAGTCCAGCTGTCAGCCCCTCACAGTGCTGGCGTCTCCCTATGAGAGGCAAACTAGGTCTGTCTGTGACCTCTTCAGCAACCCTGGGGCCTGAAGAAAGCCCCTCGGCTTCTAGCAGCCAGGTACATGATTTGTGGTCCCAACCTCAGGTGGCAGGGATGTGGAAAATATTCTGGGAGAATGCAGGATAACTATAAGGGTGAGTGAGTTTGGAATGTTATACCTCTGGTAGTGACAACAACAACAACAACAATAATAATAAATTACCTTTCCTCACAATCTCTTCGACTCCTTATTTCTCTTATCCTTCTTTTTTGGTCTTGGGCTCTGTCCCTGAAGTTCTCTCAGTGTACATTTAAAATATTTTACCCTTTAGCCATAGGGAGAATCTGCTTTTGAATCAGGATCTCCTGGAAAGTGTGACCTAGGGATCAAAACTTTTCCTAGGTATAGCTCAGCCTGCCTTGCTTGTATCTTCATCCACTTTTCCCCCATAGCTGAGAACCTAGGGTCCCTTTTCACTGCATTGTCTGTCTACTGCTTACTGCCCCTTGGTTCCCTTCCTGCCTTTATGTCTTGGAAACCAGGACACAGCCCTCTTGGTGGAGAGCTGGGATGATCTCATTGCTCTTGGGAAGAAGAGAGATATTGGAGACTTGGGAAGAACAGGGAGGCTCATCGTGGGGCAAAATAACAAGAGAAACTGTGGTTTGGGATAGCAGTTAAGGAAGCTGGCTCTGGAGACTGACTGCCTGGGTTTCAACTCCTCAGCTCTGTGTTTTTGGATGAGATAGGTATAATCCTTGGTTCCTCAATTTCCTCATCTGTATCATGGGGATGATAAGAGTGGCTATTTCATAGGCTGTTGTAAGAATTAAATAATAATCTAGATGAATATGCAAAAAAGCTTAGAACAGGGCCTGGCACGTAGTAAGCGCTCAGTAGATGCTACAGGTTATAACTGGTGGTGGTGGTGGGCTGTCCAGGACATATATTTGTAAATGAAGTAGGGACTGTACCACCATTGGGGCTATTTTTAGATATTTGTGAAAGGAAAGAGACAAACTATAAACTTAATTTAGTTATGAAAAATCATAATAGTAAATGTAGTTATCTAGGGCTGTTTATGACAAATTTCCATCTTCAAAATAATTATTAGGTACTTTATTAGTGTGTCAGATAAATTTTAAGATCTGCCTACAGTACGCATTTCTTAATGGCAAATGATATGTTCGCAGCTTGTTAAAAAATAAAATATATACAGATCACGTATTAACCCAGCTTCACATCCTTCCCTAAAATCTAAATAAACACTTGTGACTGACTGCTCTTCCACATTTACTGAGCCATAGTGACCACATTACATAAGTAAAGTCTGATTAAAAAAAATAATGTCAGTATCTAGAAAATATAAGAGAGCGGGAGGTGGATGATAATGTCTCTGTTCAGAGCTGGGCAGTTTTAGGAGTTAAATTAGCTAACTGGGTTATTTACTTAATTTTTAAAATCAGTTGTACTCATTGGAATTTTTCTTCTTTTTGCCTGTTTGGCTTAGGTCTTTACGTACATAGAAAGAGCCAGGGCTAACATGTGTAATGAGACAAATTAACCTGTTATTTCCCCCCTCATTCCCCTGCCACTGTTACTTCATGCCTGCTTAGAGTACATTCTTAGGTGTCCTATTCTAAAAACCTGTAATTCTAGAATATTAGCTTCCCTTGATCTCTATAGAACATGGAGAGTAAAAGATCCCCATTTACTGTCTCTATTGTTTGAATTAAACAAGATGCAGAGATGGGGAATGGTGATTGTATATAACTGCCCCAAAGAAATGCCAGTATAAAGAGCGGGAAACAGTGATATTTTATATATATATATATATTATATATATATACCCTTCAGTTGCATTTGTATAAAGAGCGGGAATCAGTGATTCAGTTGCATTTAGACACAGAATTCTTTAAACTGGGTTCTTTTTACTATAAAAGTAATAGAGGGTCATTGCAAAAACTGGGAAAAGCTGAAAATAATCATGAAAGTTATAAAAATAACCCCTGAATCCTGCCATCTAGAAATCCATTGTTAACATTTTGATACATTTTTTATGTTTTTGCAATTCACATAAAAAAATTTAAACCAAATTTGGGTAAATTAAACACGAGTATATATAGTTTTCATCTTTATTTTCTCACTGAAGAAATCATGAATGTTTTCCCGACAGGAATATCTAAGTCTGTTTCCCATTTTTCTTATATTTAAGAAACAAGGCATTATTTCAGACATTTAAGTGGAAGATATCGTTTCTAGTAATTTAGCCATAACTATGCACAGAATCTGAGGATTAACATTTACTTCATGATTCATTCCAATGAATCATGAATCATGGATTGAGTTGGTAGGTGAGAAAGAGAAAAAAAGTGAGTGATGACATAACTGACTGGTATGGGGTAGGAAAATTGAAGGTAATAGTCCATAGATGACACAACTATTCTTAGTTTGCTTAGGGTGATGAAATTCTGATTGCTACCACAATTTCAGGAGAGGGACTACTAATAAGCAAAGTTAAAAAATTTTTAAAGACATAGTTTTTATGTTTTTGGGATTAAAACCATGCATTTGTGTCATATCAATAGAATTCATGTAAAATTAAAAGGTATGTAAAAAAGGAGAATTCATTTTGACATCATTGTAATTTTTCGCATTATGGATATTCCTGGGAAACTTTTTGGATGCTGCCTGGGAATTCCTCTTTACTGGGTTTGGACATATCCTCCTATTACTCACAGGAAGTGTCGTTCTATAAAGCAGCTCCAGCAGGAGCAGTGCTCCACTGTTCTTGGCTGACCTCGCATCAGAACTGCAAGAGTGGCACAAGACAGAAGCAGCAGCAACTCGGGAGGAATCTGACACCGAAAAAACTTTTTCACCGAACAGGTAAGTGCAAGAAGTCTTTCACTTAACTAATCTGGCCATGAAACCCAGATTATTAATATGAACAGATAGGCAAGAAGCCTTCGATAAAAGATCTGTGCAAGCTCTTATTGTATTCAGACAAGTTAAAACCTGGCTTTTCTCTTTGACCTAAATGATGAGAATCTCAACTTTTATATGTATTCATTTGGGTAAACTTCTTTGAAATGAAGATGGTGGCAAAAGATTTCAATCCTTTATCTGAAAATCTTATGATGTCTCTGTATGCATCATTGTAGAATGATTTGAGTAACTGGTAGCCTGGGATTTCACTCTATAATTAATTTTGTACTTTCGCCCCCAGAAAAATCTTGGGATCAAAAGAAGTCTTGAAGTCATGATTGCTTCACAGTTTGTCTCTGCTCTCACTTTCGGTAAGTCAATGCCCGTAGTTAGAAAAGGGTTTCTTATCCTTGGCACTACTGACCTTTTGGACCAGATAAGTCTTCCTTGTGGGGGCTGCCCTGTGCATTGTAGGTTGTTTAGCAGCATCCCTGGCCTCTCCTCACAATGTGTTGTGCCCTGGGCTAGGAGCAATTTACCTCATTGTGTCTCAGCTTCCCTACATATAAAGAGTTGATCATAAATAACCTATTTCCCAGAGGCATTTTGAGGATTCAGTATCGTGGTTCGTGTAAAGTGCCTCCGACAGTGCATATTTAGTGCCCAAAAAAGCTTAGCTATTCTGATTATTATTCTACTATTAGGTAGGTATATTGGGTAGGTTATGGTGGGTGAAGCACCAAATGGAAGGGCAACCACAAAAGAGATACACAGTAAATGGTAGTTTCTCCATTCGTACCCATTCTTACTTTGGAAAAGGTGAAAAAAGGTTAAGTCAACCCAAAGGCCACTAGATGCCAAAAAAAAGACAACAAAAGGTCCAGTTAACAGAGTCAAACCATAGCAGGACTAAACTTTCCCATTCCTTTCACATTTTCCCCCGTAGTGCTCCTCCTGCTTAAAGAAAGTGGAGCCTGGTCTTACAACGCCTCCACGGAAACCATGACTTTTGATGAGGCCAGTGCTTATTGCCAGCAAAGGTACACACATCTGGTTGCAATTCAAAACCAGGAAGAGATTAAACACCTGAACTCCACATTCAGCTATTCACCAAGTTATTACTGGATCGGAATCAGAAAGGTCAACAATACATGGACCTGGATAGGGACCCAGAAGCCTTTGACCGAAGAGGCCACAAACTGGGCTCCAGGTGAACCAAACAATAAGCAAAGCAAGGAGGATTGTGTAGAGATCTACATCAAGAGAGAAAAGGACTCGGGCAAGTGGAACGATGAGAGATGCAGCAAAAAGAAGCTAGCCTTGTGCTACACAGGTAAGGAGTTTGTGGCAGCAGTGGGAGGGAGATTCAGTGTGTGAGCATCTTGACAGATTGTGGACTGTATGCAAAAACTGGTCTCTATTGTGGGAATTTTATGTTCTAAAAGATACGGTTTTAAAACATTCTGTTTGATGTTTTAAAACAGAATGTGTTTTTCCTTCTTTGTGTGAATGTAGACAAGAATGTATGTATTTATGTATACATTTATGTATACATATATGTATATATATAGGTCTATACTTACATACAGTGTGTGTACCTTTTTAGCTACTTGTTGTTTATGTGCCATAGGGGAACTCTCTTTAGAGTTTGTGATAAAGGGAATTTTCTATTTGGGGAGCCAGTTACAGCTATACCCCTGACATTAACATCAAGGTTTAAAATGGTTGAGCCTAGGGCTTCCCTGGTGGCGCAGTGGTTGGCAGCCTGCCTGCCGATGCAGAGGACACGGGTTTGTGCCCCGGTCCGGGAGGATCCCCGTGAGCCGTGGCCGCTGAGTCTGAGCGTCCGGAGCCTGTGCTCTGCAACGGGAAAGGCCACAGCAGTGAGAGGCCCACGTAATGGAAAAAAAAAAAAAAAAAAAGGTTGAGCCTAAAACTCAGCTTTGGCATTTCATCAAGCACTTCTGTTAAAATCTCTGGCACTCTGTATCATTGATGACATCCCCGTTACACACTGTTGACCCTGAATTCCTAAAGAAACTCATTTGAAGCACAATAACAATCGTCATCACAGACTGTCTTTTCCACAGCTGCCTGTACCCCGACATCCTGCAGCGGCCACGGTGACTGTAGAGAGACCATCAACAGCTACACTTGTCAGTGCCACCCCGGCTTCAAGGGACTCAAGTGTGAGCAAGGTAAGGCTTGGTCTCACCTTTTCCTTCGCTAGACATGGTAGGAGGATTTTGTGTCCCAGCTGGCTTCAGCGTCAGGTCTGCATGCCTTCCCTTCCCTGGGGCATATGGTTTCAGAAGGTGGTTAAGAGCTGAGGCTATGAAGTCAGACCCTCCTGGCTTTGAATCCCAGATTCACCACTTATTAATTACAGCACCTTGACAACATAGTTAAACACTCTGAGTCCCAGTTTTCTCATTGTAAAATGAGGACAATATAGTACCAAATTCACAGGCTTATGGTTTGGATGATGTGAACAAGTGCAGACACAACATTTTCATTGTGCCTGCTATTCAATAAACAGTAGTGGGCTTCCCTGGTGGCGCAGTGGTTGAGAGTCCGCCGGCCGATGCAGGGGACACGGGTCCGTGCCCCGGTCGGGGAAGATCCCACATGCCGCGGAGCGGCTGGGCCCGTGAGCCATGGCCGCTGGGCCTGCGCGTCCGGAGCCTGTGCTCCGCAACGGGAGAGGCCGCAGCAGTGAGAGGCCCGCGTCCATGGCCGCTGGGCCTGCGCGTCGGAGCCTGTGCTCCGCAACGGGAGAGGCCGCCGCAGTGAGAGGGCCCCCCAAGACCAAAAAAAAAAAAAAAAAAAAAAAAAAAAAAAGTCAGTAAACAGTAGTTATAGTTTCCAGGGTTCTTCCCACCTGATAAGGTGAGAGAGGAGAAGAATTGATGTGTTTTCCCTTTTCAGTTGTGACCTGTCAGGCACAGGAAGCCCCTGAGCATGGAAGCCTGGTTTGCAACGACCCTTTGGGGAAATTCAGCTACAATTCTTCCTGCTCTGTCAGCTGTGGGGAGGGCTATCTCCCAAGCAGCCCGGAGGCCACACAGTGCACTTCCTCCGGAGAATGGAGTGTTCCTCTTCCAGCCTGCAGTGGTAAGTCTCTCTCAGAAGGCACAGAACATTCTCTAACTCATCCCTCATTGCCTTACTTTTTATCCAGTTTATACCATTTTCAGCACGTCAGGGAAAGTTCTTTTAAACTTGTCCTAGTTAAGCAAGTTCTAATTAAACTTGTTCTCTTGGCCAGTATATATGGCCAATATGGTACCAGCTGGCTTTGAGAGAGGTTTTGACCCTACGTTTGACATAAGTGTTTCTGAGGCTCTGGTGGTTTGTAAGAAAACACATAAAACAGTGGAACCATACTCTTAACATCTTAATGACTTTCCCCATTCTCTGTTTAACTTCACCCATGCAATTGGACCAATTTAAGAGCATGATAATCAAGCAGCCTCAGTATACCCTTTTCTCTCTGTCTTATATTTCTAGGCCAAAGACAAAAAATTCTTTCCTCCAGGTCATGCTGGGTTAAAATAAATGAATGTTCTGTGTACGTCGGGATTGGTTTTTTTTTAATCACTAGTCGTAAATCCTGATCTAGAATATGTTATTTTTCTTTGTTTTAGCCTTATGTAAAATAGATCAGAGACCTGATGAGAGATCTGATAAAATAGATCAGAAACCACTTAGCATAGTCAGAGTCAATCAGAGAAGATGAAAATATCAAGAAAAAAGCATAAAGACTTTATTGGGTGTGCGCATGTCCCCAAGGATGAACACAGGGCTTTGGGAATCTACCCTCTGATCTATCTTACTGTATTATAAATTCAAGTTCAATAAGAAGTGAATATGTCACTCTTCTGTAAAGTTCATGGTGTTCTTTCAAATCCCCAGTGGCTAAGTGTGATGTTTTGACAAATCCTGTCAATGGAGTTGTGAAATGTTTCCAAAGCCACGGAAGCTTCCTGTGGAACACCACCTGTGAATTTGAGTGTAATGAAGGATATAAACTCACTGGACCCCAGCACCTGCAGTGTATCTCCTCTGGGATTTGGGACAACAAGAAACCAACATGTAAAGGTACGGTGGTTCTACATCAGGGTTTATATTGTAAACATTCTTTTTTCTCAACCTATACTCCAAATGGGTAAGCCAGACCTGCTAATGTAAATTGGGACATGTGTTACAGCTGTGACATGTGATGCCATCAGCCATCCTCAGAATGGTGCTGTGAGCTTTAGCCACTCCCCTGCTGGAGAGTTCACCTATAAGTCATCCTGCCACTTCACCTGTGCGGAAGGCTTCGTGTTGCAGGGGCCAGCCCAGGTTGAGTGCACTACCCAGGGGCAATGGACACAGCAGGTCCCAGTTTGTGAAGGTAAGCCTGTGAGTCTCCTTTACACTCTCCCTTTCTCAAAGAGCAGCAGTCTTCAAATGTGAAGCACTGAAAATGAAACCTGATGCCTACTTTAACTATAGTAATCACATCTGATGGGCAACATTCATCTTATATTTTTGAGATGCATATAAAAGAACTGTCCAGGGAAAGGACTGTATGTAGTAAGAGTGGATGCTTTGCTGGTTTCTTAACTGTACTGGACTAATATAACTTTATAGACATAGGCATGGAGTAAGCAGAAATCTTAATCTGAAGGGAAATCACATTAGAAAATTTACAAAGTAGGATTATGAGAACATGACTTGATTCCAAAGTACTTGTCATACCTTTCTTCTGAAATTGCTCATAACTAGCAGTGATGAAAATGTTTCAAGTGTGGTGTCAGATATAGAGACACCCTTAATATATACATAAGCACTAAGATTTAGTTTAATTTAATTTAATAAAGCAAGAGCAAGAATATTGAAAGCAAGCAGTTTTCACTACCAGGTACTGGCATTTTAGTAGCCAAATATAGCACAGAATGATTTACAGTGGCAAAAAGACGCAAGACAAAAACCAAACTGCAAAGCAGACAAGTTTTATGTGGCTGCCTTCTTATCGTCCTTTCTTTTTGGCCTCATCTGTAAGCATCCAGGACCCATAAGTTACTCCCTGACTACATAAAATCTTTCTCCTAACCCTGACTTCTTTCACATATCAGAACAGAGCTCAGGAACCACTGGTCCTGTTAAAGGCTGTCCTTTAATTGGTACCCTTGTCAAGGAAGGGGCTGAAATTCAAAGAAAACACAGCCATCTTCCCACTTGTCCAGGGACTAATGAAGAGTCTTGAATTCTCTGAGTGCTCCTTTGTCCAAAGTGGTCTGGGTTCAGTCGTCAAATGCCAAGTACTATCCAGCTCCACTACATTATTCTCTGACCATAATTTTGGTAGCTCTGCTTTCCCATGAAAGCTTTGTCCAGCCCAGAGAGAGGCTACATGAGTTGTCTTCTGAAAGACAACCAGTCTAGTGTTTCTAGTACTTCTGAAAGTTTCCAAAGTGGGTCCACGGGTGAGTTTTCCTGTGAGCACTGCTGAAGAGCTAGGGACTTGGTTACCTTGGGAAACCTGTTGCTGCCCGATAAAAACAAACTTCTAATGTACTCACTCATGTCTTCCAGCTGTGAAATGTGATGCTATCCCTCAGCCCAGAAGTGGTTCAGTGAACTGTACCCATTCCCCCACTGGAGAGTTTACCTACAAGTCCTCCTGTGCCATCAGCTGTGAGGAAGGCTTTGAATTACATGGATCGGCTCAACTTGAGTGCACATCTCAGGGACAGTGGACACAGGAGGTCCCCTCCTGCCAAGGTAGGACTCAATTCAATCTTTAAAGGAGTATAGGTCAAGTACCTTAAAACATTTCTGAACCTAGATTGCCCCAAGGGACTTGATCCTAATTTCCTACATGCTGAAAACTAAGTAGTGCTTATAAGTTACACTTATTGGTGATTTTCTGCCCGTTTTAAAAATTTTCCAGTAGATTTTTCTTAACCTCTACCCATGTCCTATCATTTGCAGTGGTACAATGTTCAAGTTTGGAGGTTCCCGGAAAGATCGACATAAACTGCAGTGGGGAGCCTGTGTTTGGCACCAAGTGTACACTTGCATGTCCTGAAGGATGGACGCTCAATGGCTCTGCGGCTCTGACATGTGGTGCCACAGGACACTGGTCTGGGATGCTGCCTACCTGTGAAGGTGAAGCATTGATTGATGGTGGTTGTCTAGGGGACAAGAGAGAAGAAAGGGAGCTAAGAAAGGAAGCTATCTGGCTACAGTAATGAACTACCCAGTATATCCAAACCAGAAAGGTCAGAAAGGTTACCCAGGTTAACATTAATGGATGGACATTTCATTTCATGGGGATAAAGAGAAAACAGAAGAAGTGACATGTCAATGGAATTTTGATAAAAGGAGAGCTAGTGGGAGAAGTTGGGGGGTGGGAAGGGAAATGAGAGAGAGAGAGAGAGCGAGAGAGCGAGAGAGAGAGCGAGAGAGAGAGAGAGAGAGAGAGAGAG